TTTATTTTATTTTAAAAAATCATTTTATTGGGGGCTCTTATAGCTCTTTTAACCATCCATATATCAATTGTATCAAGCATATTTGTCCATATGTTGTCATCATTATTTTCTAAACATTTACCTTTAATTTGAGCCCTGGTATCAGCTCCTCTTTTTAGCCTCTAGGCCCCTTCTTCCCCTTGTGACCCCTTGATAAATTATAAATTATTATTGATTTGATATCTTACACCAACCGCTGTCTCCCTTCCCCTGCAGTTTCTTGCCCCCTCCTCTCCCTACCTTCCCCCAACCCTCTTGGTATCGCTTCTCCCATTTCAGTTCTTGAGGGGTTTATCTGACCTGGATTCCATCTGTACCTGTGTACATGCTCCGGTCTAGCTCCGGGTCAGATCAGAGACACAAAACCCACCTGTAGACAACGGGACATCCCCGCACAGAAGGGTCACAAGGAAGGGATGAGCCAGCCAGGGTGAAGTATGGCCCCGATGAAACACACTATATTCCTCTGGTTCCTTGTGGCTTCCTCACCCCTCACTATCTGTCAATTTGTTTGTACCTATGTAAAGAATGAACATGACTCCAGGTGCTTAGAATTCACGGTTGCACAGTTGAACGTTTAAAAAAAATAAGCACTGTAAACTTGTGATTTCCACATTGGGTGACTGGGCAGCCGCCCACCTCAGAGAGAACCCCGATTACAAGTGCCATTTTAACGACGGGTTCGCCGAACACAGCCAAAAATGAGGTATCAGTTCTGCCAAACTGGTGCGAACCAGCTGGATCCCTGCACTGCTTGCCAGGGCAGAGACTTTGGATTTCCCTCTTTTGCCGGAATGCCTTAGCCATGCAGAGTTCTGCATCTGACACAGGCTGCTATTGGTAACCACCTCCGATTATTTTCAAGTGATGCTAATTATGCTTTTATAAAGTTGCATTAATAATCTCCACCATGATTTTTTAGAAAACGGATCTGGGAGCTCATGATTTATTATTTCCTTATTTAATAGACATGCACAAAAGAATGGGCTGAAATTTTAAACCACAAAAGCAAGCATGTAGAAGAAGCTGTCAGAGAACTAATATCAATATTTGAGAAGATCTATGACGTGAAGAACAGCAGAAAAGCTGCCAAGGAGTCATCAGGTACTTTTGCTGGTTACAGTGTTTTGAGTGGCAAATACTTTAGACATGTGGGCACTTCATCCGTTGTCACCACTGCTCTGCTGTATGATGTAGCAGAAATGATAAGCGACAGCTCCAGGAGGGGAGGGATTGTATCATGGAATTATTTTGATGTTCATCATTTTTAGCAGGGTGCCTTGACTATACTAGGTCTGGGGCCTATTTGTTATTTAAGTATTAAAAAAGATGGTACAGACTCTAACGAACCAGACCTGGGTTAAACCCTGGCGTTGTCATTTTCTATTGTGTGGCTTCGGGTAAATAACTTGACCTATCTAGCCTCAGTTTTCATCTGAACATGAGAATATCAATTATACAGTTCTCATGGAATTTTCCGAAGATTCAGTGAAATCAGTACAGTATTTAGCTCAGTGCCTGTCATAGAGTAGAATCGTGCAGCATCATATTTTTACCAAAAAGAATAACAGTATCTTCTGTGGTTTTTGCCCTGGCTAAGTATTTTGTATGTGCTGATGGCATGCTTTTGTTTTTTACATTTTACTGTAGGAAAGAGTAGCTATGCATGCTTACAAAAAAAAAACCCACATGATTTGCATAAAACAGTAATTTCTAAGAATTAGAATCAGCTCTTACATCTGGGTCTTTGGTCCATTCGTACATTTTGTGTATGGGGTGAGGGGCTACGTGCATTCTTTTTGTAGAAAGTTCCGGTACTCTAGCACTATTTGTTAAGAGACTGTTCTTTCCCCGTCCATGGACTTAGAATTCTTGGTAAAAACAAATTGACCATCGATGCAGAGATTTGTTTCTGGACTCTCATTTCTTCCATTGATCAATATGTTTGTTTCTGATACCAGGAACAGGCTGTTTTGATACCTATCACTTTATAATATGTTTTGAGAATACTCAGTTATTTTACCTTCTTTAAGAGCTATGTTCAGGAGACATAGCCAAGAACTGTCTGGCCAGGAAGCTGCTTTGGTGCCTCCTCTGTAAGTTGAAGAGTTGGGGAAGCTGGCTTCCGTTTATGTGTGTATTTATTTGAGGTCTACGTGGCACTGTGTCTGTCATCGGTACTGTTGGTGTCATCCCCAGGTCTAGATACTGATCAATTGCATTGAGCATCCCAATGTTCCCTCAGAGGCCTAGACCTGTAGTTGTACTCACAGCCGTGAGTCATGACAACAGGACACAAGGCACAATCAGCACAGGAAGAGGCACAGAGCATGAGGCCCCCACGAAACCAGGCACCGGCTTCCACGAGTCTTCTCCCAGTGAAGTCCCACAAAATGTGCCCCATTCCTCCTGCGATGAGTTGTGACAACATGTGTGAAATGTCTGTATGCCAGAGACACTCACCAGAAGCCCACTCAGTACTCACGGTTTCTATTGGCAGCTAGGCAGGTTGGAAAGGAGCATTGGTGTCACGGTGGATTAATAAGTAAGCTTTGGGCTGCTAACTGAAAGATCAGCAGTTCAAATCTACCAGCTGCTTCTTGGGAGAAAGATGAGGCGCTTTGCTTTTGGGAAAGATTTACAGCCTTGGAAACCCTAGGGAGCACTTCTACTCTGTCCTCATTGGGGGGGCTACGAGTTGAAATCGACTAGCTGGCAGTGGGTTTGGATTTGAGTTAATTATGGAAACATCCTCGGTTTCGTATGCAACAAAAGTCCAGACTCCCAGAAGGACAGCATGTGTTCAGCATGAACCTCATTGTCCGTACAGTTTAGGCACATTGCTTATCAGTTAGGGAATGGTGGAAGCCTCCCTGAAATCTAAGTTCCCAGACCGACGCCAGCCAGGGATCAGCCTCGGAGGCATGGCTGTCTGAGGACTGGTGTGTTGACTCTTTGGTCCAGCGTTCTCATCCCGACTATTTGATTTATGTTACTTTTTTTCCTTCCCAAGTGAACTAAGCAAAAACAAAATTAAAATTTTCACGAATCTGGAAACATTACTATGGATGAGACTGGGTTTTAAGACTCTTGACTAGACCCTCTTCTGCAGAAAATGAGCTTCAATAGGAAAATGGAAGCTAGTGGAAGAGCAGATTTCCCAGGAAGCGGTGGCCAGGCCACACCATTTGCCTGGGCTTCACTAGCCATGTGTCACAACAAACGGTGCTTTTTAATTCTGCTCAAGATTTCATCACGCGGACCAATCTGCGTGACCGGGAATAAGAGCGATGCCCTTACGTGACCAGGTCTCTTGAGGAAACGCGGTAGGACAGTGTGCCTGCGTGATTGACAGTGGTTGAAATCATTTTGACCACACTGCATTTCCTGTTGGCCCAATTTCAGAATACTATATTGTTCTCTCCAAGAAAGCCCGAGGTTTTAATCACTTCATCAACTATGTTAGTAAACCTGTTGCAAAAATTAGGTTCTTGTCTTATCAAGAGGAAGATGAACTTTTGTGAGACAGATTAAGGATAGGGGATTTTTTATGGTAATAAATATATATACATGAAAGGACATGCAAAATTCATAGAAAAATGACACTGAAAGATAATAGAATTTACCCACAAAATATATTTATATTTATCTATCTATCTATCTATCTATCTATCTATCTATCAAACTAATCACTATCCTCTTTCAAATAATTCCACAACCATAAACAGAATTCAGTGCTCCCTAAGCCAAGACTCACCCTTTCCCACTTCCTGTTATGGGATAGAGGAATTTAAGAAAAGATTCCCTGCATTTAATTTAGGCCTAAGGAGGTGTGTCTCTCCATCCAGATCCCTGTTTGTTCAAATATCTGCTCTTCCCACCATTCCCTGCTCGGGCAGGTTGTCCGAGGTGGTGTTTGGCAGGGCAGGACACGAAGTGGACCAGGGCTGTGTTGTAACACGAGTGTGCCACCCACTAGTTCCAAGAGACAGGGGTGCCTACCGGGGTAATGCTAATTAGTTAAGTAGTATTTGAAGTGGGAAATACATGGGAAATTGGCTTATTGGGATGAACAAGCATTGCCGGCAGGCAGAGACCCCACGACAGTGACGTTCTAAGGTGAAAGAGAAGAAGCACACGGAGGTTATCGGAGCCCAGACGGTGACCCTCAATGGACGGTATAGTTTACTTGCTAGGGGGACATTTGGCAATATCTGCAGACATTTTTGTTGTTGTTCTTGTCACACAGCTTGGGGAGTTGCTAATGGAATGTGCTTAGAGACCAAGGATGCTGCTAAATAATGCTATAGTGTACAGGATGGCCAGACAGCCCTTTCCCACCCTCACCTCCCAAACAAGGAGTTCTCACTGCTGTTGAGCCCATTGTGACTCATAACAACCATATAGGGCAGAATAGAAATGCCCCCTGGCTTCCCCAGACTTTTAAATCTTTACAGGAGCAGACAACCTAGCCTGCTCCCTCGGTGTGTCTGGTGGGTTCGAACTGTTGACATTGCAGTTAGTTAGCAGCTGGGGTAGCTGACTTTGCTGCCGGGGCTCCTTAACTAGGGCTGAGGATGAGATTAAATCAGAATGCTCAGCATGCCCTCTATTCCCTAGAGTGTCTCACTTGGTAGTTTAATTCGTTTCCTTCAGAAATGTCAGAATGACAAAAATAACAGCACATTAAATGAGAAAACTCAAAAGGTAAACAGATAATTTAGAAAGATAATACAGGGAAATGCACGTAAAATGTTTCCTAATTCTAGATCCTAAGATACAGGCAGGGATATTTACCGAGTCTGTTTCTCAGTGGAATGGTGTTTCTGTTGAGATGGGTGATTAAGATAGAATTTAAGGATGCCCCTTACAGGATGAAAGTTAATGTTTTCAAGGTCAGAGTTTTAATAGGAGCTTCCGGGGAAGCTTTGGCCAGCTAAACAAGACCCCAAACCCCAAAACTAAATGCCATCGAGTAGATGCCGACTCATAGTGACCCTATAGGACAGGATAGAACTGCCCCTGCGGCTCCTAGGCTGTAACTCTTTATTTAGGGGAGCACAAAGCCTCCCCTTTCTCCCAGAGTGGCTGGCAGTTTCAAATTGCTGACCTTGCACAGAGTAAGCCAAATGCTAAAAACTAACTGCTGTATTTTGGGATTTGTCTTTTACCTACAGAACAGCGGAAACATGTTGTTTTTGGAAGTGAAACAGAGGAGGGCGAGGGTACCGAATTTGATGCCAATATCAGGAGTGAAGATGCTAATGATAAAGAAGATGAATTTAAAAAGGTAATGATTGGGAAACGAACGTATGCGGTTTCACAGAGTTATGATTCGTCGGACCATAGATCCTGGAGGAAGGGTGGGAGGGTGATTCCTCTAGGGAGGAATCTGCAGTGTACAGCCCGAAAAGAAGGTCTTTGGTTTTACACTACAGGATCTGACCAGAGAGAGCAATGTACTCACTTCAAACCACCCTCCCTGCCATCAGGTCAATGCTGACTGAGGGCAACCATATAAGACAGGGTAGAACGGCTCCCTGTGAGTTTCCAAGACTGTCACGTTAATGGGAATCGAAAGCCCTGGCTTTCTCCCTAGGAGTGGCTGGAGGTTTCGAACTGCCGACCTTATGGATGGATCTAAGCCCAATGGGTAACCACGACACTACCAGGGCTGCTAGCAATGTACCATTTCCTCCCAGCATTGTCAACAAACATTTGATGTGATTTTGTTTTCAATGATATAGTCATTTCTGGTTATTAGGTTTGACTGTGTTTTCTTGGATTGTAAATGCTACTTCTGGGATCACCTGACCTTTCTTCTGAGGCACCTCTGGGTGGGTTCGAACTGCCTACCGTTTCGGTTAGTTGCCCAGCGCTTAACCATTTGTGCCATTCAGAAGGAATCAATCCAGGGGATTTCATTCTGAAAGATTGTGTTCAATAGCTTCAGAGTCTGACTCATGGGGGGCCCTGCAGGGGCAATCCTCATGGGGCAGATTTTCAGCCCTGTATGTGCAGAGATCGATGGTTGGGAAGGAGACCTGAGTTTCTTCTTCCTTTTGGCCACACCCTGGTTCCTGCCCAGGCCCTCGTAGCCATTTTCTTTCTACTCGTTCTCCATTTTACCCAGGCTTGCAGTCTCCGACAGAGACGCTAATGCAGTTTTGGAAAGAAAGGGCACACACCCTTCTCCTCCTGCCTCCTGCCAGTGGAGTTCAGCCTTGGAATTCCGCTCAGTCCCAGCACCGGCCGCCGTTAGCCACCAGGGGGCAGCAGCGAGCAAGCCTGTTCCCCTCTAGGCAGGCCCATCTTCACCACCTTCTCTTTGACTGCAGTCCCTTGGATGCTGGCCGGTGGAGTCTTCAGAGTGAGGTTGAGTGCCCCCAGAGCCTCTCTAATTGGGTTTCATATGCAGCTGCATTAGTGCAATCACCTCACAAACAGCCTCTGCCTCTCCAGTCCATCTTCTGAGGTGCTGGCGGAACGAACGCTCTCTAACATAGAAACCCGGGTACCTCGCCCCTGGGCACCAGCCTGCTCATTCATCACCTATGACTTCTCCCTCTCCATACTGAAAACCTGGACTGCCCTCTTGATGGGTGCCTGACAGCTCTCTCCTCCAGCCAAGCCAATCTTACCCCGTCTCAGAAGGACAGGCCTGAGAGCAGAAAGGAGCAGTAGAACCGGAGCCTGGCTCTGGGTGCCTGACTTGATGTGCCAGGGAGCGGCTGGTGGAGATCTCGGCATGCCCTTTCCCCTCCCACTTCCCACCACAGCCACGCTGCTGCCAGCCTCTTCGTGCATGTCAGAGTAGAGCCATGCTTCATGTAGAGTTTTCATGGCTACGACTTTTAAGAAGCGGATCGCCAGGTCTTTCTTCCGAGTTGCCTCTGGGTGGGGTTCAGAATGCCAACCTTTTGGTTAGAAGCCCAGCCTTTGAATGTTCGCCCCACCAGGGGCTCCTAGATCCCTGCCCAGCCAGGCTCACTACATGCCCTCCTCTCTGACGAGTAAGCATGTCCGTGTCTCCTGCAGAGGGTTAAACCACAGGCACAGGAAGAAGGTAGGAGCTCTCTGCCAGGTGTTTTGTTATCATGTGCTTCAGGACCTGTTAGATTCTTGGCTGCTGGCATTCTGGACAGGTGTCATCAGAGCTTCCAGACTAGGATGGATAAGGAAGAATGTCTTACTGTCTACTTCCAAAAATCAGCCAGTCCAATCAGAAACCCTGTTGAGCACGGGGTTGTCATGAGCTGGGGCCAAATCTACAGCAGTGAACACTAACAGCACCCGCCAAGCTGAGCTTTATGGGAACGAAGCATCCTCCTCTTGCGCTCCCCATCTCTGCCTGCCCCCCCCCATCACCACAAACATGTCTACCTCAAGCATTGAAGAATGAACTCCTCTTGGCTCAGTTCAGTTGTGTTGAGGGAATCATAGCATATTGGGTGAACCAGGATTATTTTGAATAACCTGATTTGAATTTTGGACTTTTGAGTCCATCCTTATGTTTTGCCAGTGTGTTCTATGCAGACACACTTTTCATATTGGGTCACTTGCTTAGCAATACATACGACACACGTCATTTAGGATTGGACTTTGTATTAGCCTGGGTACTTTGGAGAAACAAATCCACAGCAACTCATGTATATGAGAGAGTTTTATGTAAAGAAAATGTGCATCACGAAAACATCCCAACCCAATGCTACCCAAGCCCACAAGTCCAACATTAACCCATTAACCCAACACCAGTCCACAAAGTCCTCCACCTCACAAAACAGAGGCAGTGATGCCAACTGCAGGAGGAAAGCTGAGTCAGTGAACGAACAAGCATCTCAGCACTAGCAGGGGTCTCCACACGGCTGCTCCAGCACCTAGGGCTGCATCGGGATAGGTCCATGTAGCTTCTCCTTGGGGATGTCTTGTAGGAAGTCAATCTTGCAAGCTGAAGCAGGGAACTGCTAAGACAGCTGCACCCGGTGCAACCATCACAAAACAAGAGACCTGAGAACTAGAAAGGCGAGGCTCACCACCCATTTATCCCTCTGCCTTTCAATTAGCCCCACATGTGATTATCGGCCAGGTTGGCACAATTAACTAACGCAGACTCTTTTCTACAATATAATTGAAATTGGCTCATTATATTTTACCATTTGAGGGTCACTTTTCATATTGTGCAATCATTTTAAGGGTGTTGGCGTCTTAGATTAACCTTAACACATTTTCTGATTACAGGAATGTAAAGAAGTCTTCGCTTTTTTCACTCATCAGCTGCTAGATAGTCTTCAAAAAGCCACACGGTTATCTTTGGACACAATGAAAAGAAGAATATTTGTGTCAAGGCAAGTGGAAGATGCCAAGTACTCAACTGGCCAGTCTTAATCTATATCATAGCGTGATACTAATAGCATTGCTTGTTATTTTTAATCAATATATTAATTTGAAAAAATATAAAATATACTGCCCTTTAAAAGATTTCATGAAACTATAAACGTGTAACACTGCAAGGAACAACCATCAAATGAACAACCGGCCCCTAGCACCCAGGCCAAGATAAAGAGCTCTACCAGGCCCCTTAGAGCAGGGGGGGACTTTTGTCTGCCAAGGGCCATCTGGGTATTTATCAGCTGAACACTGGCCTGTTCGCTGTAGGTCCAACATTTAACGAACTCGCCCCTAATGTGGTGACTGGCACTGCTCCTGGGATGCTAGCTGGCATTGGTGATTTCATGGGCCTTCCGGGACCCTCGGGCAGGACCTGCCCCACCCCTGCGCCTTTGAGCTTCTCTCTGCTCATCGCGAAGGAACTTGTACCCTGAACTTTGCGTTTATCTTGTCTTGCTCTCCCTTAGAGATGACCACATGGTCATGGCCCTCCTCAACGTGCCACTCGGTTTTGCCTGTATAAAAACTTTGCCCAGTAGTTTGCTTTTGAGATTCAGCTGGGTTGGTTTTTCTGCTATTTTCACTGCTGTAGAGTCGGGATATGCAACCCTGGTGGCACAGCGGGTAAGCACTCAGCTGCTGAGAGTGGGGTGACTTGAACCGACCAGCTGCTCCATAGGGGAAATGTGTGGCAGTCTGCTTGTAAAGAAGTTGTTTCTGGCTACCATTAAGTTGGTTTCGACTCTCAGTGACCTATGCATGCACAATAGAATGAAATGCTGCTTACTTCTGATAGACATTAGGCATTCAGTAACTGTCCCCCTTTGTGCCCCAGACCTTTTCTTTAAGTGATTACTGTCTCTTTCTATTGTGCGTCTGATGTTTAGAGCGTTTCTTAAGCTGACCCTCTGGTTTACTAAATGAGCTGCTGACTGATAGGAGATGCGGTCACTGCCTTTACTAGTTCGGCTGTGCGTTCATGTGAATTCATAACAGTTCAACTCTGATACGTGGCAACTCCGATTCATGGATTAAAGTGGAGTCGTGCACTGGAGTGTTTGCCAGGGTTGATTTTTTTGGGTGTGTGTGTGTGTTCTTCTGAGGCACTACTGGGTGGACTTGAACCTCTGATTTTTGGCTAGCAGCCAAGGGTGTTAAATGTTGTGGCATCAGAGGTCCTCTGACTTCAGGACTGAGGAGGATGATCTCCATCAGTATCAGCCCAAGGCTAATTTCCAGATGGGCATCAGATAGCCCCACATTCACCAGCCTTTTTTAAAACAACAACAAAGAAACCAATGATAACATCAGTTGTCCCCACAAGGCACTTTCTACTTCTCTGTTGGGTTCATTAATTTATTGCAGTGGCCTCACAGAACTCCCAGGCCATACTCACAAATAGGGGCTTTATTGGGGAAGTAATAGGTTACAATTCAGAATCAGGATCAACGTGGAGGTAACAAGAAAAGCTCAGGCTACAGTTCTTGGGTCGGGACCGACTCTTCTCGGTTGCTGCTAGGCACTGCACTCGCAGCTTGGGACTTGTGCTCTTGGCTTTTGCCCCTTCTCAGGCCCTTGGCATGGTTCTGTAGAGAAAACTATTAGAAAGCTCTGTTTATTAGTGCCTGGTGGTATTCCGCTCTGCTTACAAAGGTGCTCGGCGCTCCTGCTTCTTGGGTTTGTAGGCCTATTGTCATTGCCTTGTACCCTAGTCTGGAAAGGCCGCTGTCCAGTCTTGTACTGGCCTTCTGGATCTGCTGCGCTTTTCTCTGCCACCAGACCCTGTTGCTCACCAGCTCTGGTATTACAGCTCTCTTTGGCTCCTGGGTCTCAGAGATTCTAATTGCAGGGACTGTGCATCCAAAGGACACGCTCTGCTCCAGACTCTTCTGGAATTGTTTCCTTTTAAACATAAAGGGATTGTGTTAGGTAGAGTTCTCTCGAGAAACAATACCAGGATGCTTATGATTGTGTATAGATAGCTACAGATATAGAGAGGTTTATACAGCGAGAAGGAATATACACAGCAGTTCAGACCGCTTGGTTCAACTCACATTCTTTGAACAGTTATATACGGATGGTCCTTCAACTCACTCAGCCTGGCAGTCCAAGGTCAAGGCAGAGTCTTCCCTCAGGCAAGACAAGCAGAGTCTGTCCAAAGGCAGCAGCCAGCAGGGTAGGTGGGTCAGTTGTTTGCAACTGTAGCTTAATGAAGCAGGCCAGACGCTTGCACCAGCAACACAGTAAAGCAGGTCTCAAAGGAGCCTCAAACACTATCGACCCAATACATGGGTTGGTTCGGCCCCCAGGTAGTGCAGCATAGGGTTGAGGCAAAGAACTAGCTCAAGCAGCAGCCAGACTGTGCACTATTCCCACACTGTCTCCAGTGCTGTCCCCTGCAGCACCATGGTTCAGTGAGGGATGCAGTGTCCCATGGTGGGGCTGGCCCTACGGTCCTCCCTGTGCATTGTCTTCTCCGAGCAGGAACATTGTCCTTGAGGCTTGGTGGGCCAGGATGTCCTCCCCTCTCTCTCCATCCCTTTGCATTTCTCCCGTGTGCTCTAATCTGACGCACCCCTATCCCCAAGCTGTAGCCCCAGTGCTGTCCTCTGAAGTGCGTTCTTCTGAGATGGGGGGTGGTAGAGTCCACATAGTCGGGATTGGGTTCCATTATCTTTTCAATCTGTTTTTTTGGAGCTCTCTTGTTGCAAGTACAGGTAGCCTATGTGTTATGAAGTTGATTCATTTCTGTGTATTTTTTTCCCTAATCATAATATCGGGAGCTCTTTCAGACATCATAACATACCATAGTTCAATCACATCAAACGTTATTGTACAATTGCCACCACAAACAGTTTCAAAACATTTCCTTTCTTCTTGAACTCCTTGATATTAGCTCTCTTTTATCCCTTCCATTTCCCACCCAACCCCCCAGGAACCCTTATGCATTTATTTATTTGCCATGTCTCACACTATCCAATATCTCCATTCACATACAATTCTGTTGTTTGCTCCTCTGGAGTGGGGTGATACAGTCCTCAAGGCTATCAGCTCCCCCACATCTCTTCCTGTCCCCTCAGGGACCATTGCTCCTGGTACTGTTTCTGAAGGGTTGTCTATCTTGGCTTTTTTGTATCAAACTACCTTAATTATACAAATGAACCATACCCAAGTCTAACATGATTAATGAGGTAAACAAATAAAAACCATCATAGGGGAGAAAATATTAAAGAATTAGAGGATAGTTATGTGTTTCATTAATGCTGTACTGTATGCTGGATTTATCACCCCTTCTGTGTGGCCCTTCTGAGAGGGACTGTCCAATTATCTTACAGGTGGGTTTTGGGTCTGCACTATATCCACACTCCTTCACATCAATTTGGTGGCTTGTTTTTGAACTTATAATACCTATTCCTGTTGACACCTCATGATTACACAGGCTGGTGTGCTTCTTTCATGTGGGTTTTGTTGCTTCCCTGCTAGATGGCTGCTTGTTTAACTACAAGCCTTTAAGACCCCAGACGCTATATCTTTTGATAGCCGGGCAACATCAGCTTTCTTCACCACATTTGCTTATGCACCCATTTTGTCTTCAGCAATTGTGTCAAGAAGGTGAGCATAGACAAACTGATATATTTACGAATATAAACTATAAACTGAAAAAAAAAAGGTGAGCATCAAACAATGCCACATTATTAGAACAAACCATTCTTGGACTGAGGTAAGATTTAAGTAGAGGCCCCAAATCCATCTACTTCTTTATTGTACTTACATGTATATACATATATAAACAAGGACACCTACATTTTTATATTTACATATATGTATGTTTATACATATACCAATATATATTTTTCTTTCTCCTTCTTTCCTCTTTTTCTTTTTTCTTTACTATTGTCCCACTATCATGCTTACCCATCATTCACCTCTCAGTAATTCCTTTCAAATACAATGACTGGTCAAACATGACCAGAAAAGCTACACCCTCCTCGTCATCAATTTTGGAATCCTTATTGTTCCCCTATCCCCGTCATTATTAGCTCACTGCTCACTTCCCCCTGCCTCCTCCTCTCCCATTCCCCCTGGAACCATCGGTCCCGTTGCTGTCTCTGTGGGATTGCCTCTCCTATCTATCATGTATAAATAAACACCAAAAGAAATAGAAAGAAAGAAAGACCATACAAATTGTTCCATGTCTCACAGGGATCCTGACACAGAGTAGATGAAGGATCTCTCTGTTAAATAGTGAGAAGGACACGGGTTTTCTGGTGTGCTCATATTTAAAAGTAGAGGTGAGTTTTTCAATAATTATAGTACCGGTTGCATTTCTAGAGAACGGGAAGTTTAAATTTATAACGATTTTGTCTGGGGAAGGGATGGAGGTGAAGGCAGAGGGAGTTAGGCAAACTAGTTTGCATCAGAGGTATGCACTTTTCATTCCTCACAATTGTGTGTGTGTGTGTGTGAGTGAGAGAGAGTCTGTGCTTCTGTCTGTGCACCGGTGATTCTGTTTAGAAAAAGCAGTTGTTGAAAGATTTTTACCAAAAACTTCTGTGTAATGTTACTATATATATGAGAAGTTTTAAAATAATGGGGAATTTCCATTATTTTAAAATTCCATGAACTATTGAAGTCCCCTCGTATATGTAAACATATATGTGTGCATGTGTATACATGTTTGTGTGTGTCACTGCATGTGTGTATATCAAACAATATACTTTTGTTGGTGACCAGAACTGTATTTGATACAGGGCTTGGAGCAGAGACTATCGTTGGAACCGATGCTGGTACATGCTTATGACTGAGAGATAGTAAATGAACACAGCAGGAGAAATGTCCTTGAAGATAATATTTTGCTTCTCACTACAGCCACCAAGTCACTGCTGACTCATAGCGACCCCCTATGGGTTTCTGAGACAGTAACTATTTATGGGAGTAGAAAGCCCCGCTGTTCTCTGGAGGAGCTGCTGGTGGTTTTGAACTGCCGACCACTCGGATCACAGCCCAATGTGTAACCACTACACCACTGGGGCTCAACTATTTCTAAGAATATTAAATTTATTCATTTATTTATTTTTGTTCTCTGAACTTTATGGTTCCATTATAAATAATATTCTCTTCATGTAATTGTTGACATCTTATAAGGTAGCCTTATTTTTAGGATCAATATGTGTAGCATAATGGGTTATCTAAGCTATTTTTGGTTTAAATGCCGATCTAATTACAGCCATTTTGGACGAAAGCGGTCAGAAGATATCATTTCCTTTATCAAATCTGAAGTACACCTGGCAATTCCTAATGTGGTAAGCGCAATTAAATATTCAAGTGAATGCAAGAGAGCTTCCAAAGTTTGCGGGGACGTGCTGCATCTCCCCGCTCTCACAGAGCAGGGTCACAAGTCCTGACCTTGGCCTTCCTACCTGTAGGAATGCATGGCAGCTGTTAGCACTTAGTCGACCGTAACAGAAATGCCACGAGCGGCTAGCTTTAAAGCTTCTCACAGTCCAGAGGCAGGGTGTGGCTCTGGGAACAGTTCTTTCCTTACCGAGAGCCGTGGCATTCCTTGGTGTTCCTCGGTGCTTCTTGGCATCTCACGTCTCCTGTGTGTGTCCATGTCACTGCCTATGTTCTCCTCTCCTCTCCTATTGCTTTTATAGATCAGAAGTGATTAGGTTTAGAACCCATTTCCTCTGGCATGACCTGACTACTATAACCAACGAAAACTCCTTAATTTCCAACAGAGTTATATTACAGGGGCCCACAACCGAACCAAACCAAACTCAGATGGAGTCAAACAGGAATGGGCTATGTGTGAGTCTGGGTAGACTAGAGAAACAGATCCACAGAAAATCATATGTATATAAGAGAGTTTTATAGAAAGGGTAAACTTACATTAAGAAGGCATCCCAATCCAGTGCTGTCCAAGCCCATAAGTCCAACATTAGCCCATATGTCTGACACCAATCCACAAAGTCCTCCTCAATCTCACAAAACACACGCAATGACCCCGACTGCAGGAGGAAAGCCAAATCAGTGAGCGGGTAAGCATCTCAGCGCTGGCAGGGGTCTCCACACGGCTGCTCCAGCACCCAGGGCTGCATCGGGGTAGGTCCATGTGGCTTCTCCTTGGGGATGTCTTGCAGGAAGTGAGCCTTGCCATCTGAAGCAGGGAACTGCTAAGGCAGCTGCACCCTGGTCTGACCATCACAAAGCAAGAGACCTGAGAACTAGAAAGGCGAGGCTCACTGAGCCATTTATCTCTCCGCCCTTCAATTGATCCCACATATGTTTATCAGCCTGGTTGGCACAATAAACCTTACCGATCTCAGGCTAAAACATCCCCACAGGATTTCCAAAGCTACCAGTTTTTGTGCAAGCAGACTGTCACATTTTTCTTCTGTGGAGCAGCTGGTGGGTTTGAACCACAGATGCTTTGGTTAGCAGCTGAGTGCTTGCCACTGTGTCACTATTCACAGGGGTTAGAATTTCCACACATTTTGTAGGAGAGTGGGGGTACACAATTTAGTCTGCAACAGAAGGGAGAGAGACTGCAGCCCACCCTTGAATGTTTCTTTCCTCCAAGTAGTCACCCACTGGGCCAGATAAAGGCTTTCCTCACTCAGTGGAGTGGTGTGTGTGTGTGTGTGTGTGTGTGTGTGTGTGTGTGTGAGAGAGAGAGAGAGAGAGATGATTCAGAGAGGTGCCCTGGATGTCTTGACGGTGCTGTGAACTTGTATCTTCTTCCTACAGATCATGGTTCCTAGTTTGGATGACATTCAGCAGGCCATCAACCGTATGATCCAGCTAACACTGGAGGTCAGCCGAGGCGTGGCTCACTGGGGACAGCAGCAAGTCCGTCGCATTAAGTCAGCCATTGTTAGTCCGAACCGAACCCTGACGGACGTGACCCACATCAGCACGGGAAAGCAAGCCAAGAAAGAAGACAGTAAGGATGCTAAAACAAACTCCAGATGAATAGAGCCTTAGAGTAATAACAAGGAGTGATTCGTCTTGGCGGTTCCTCCAGGCTTGGCAATTGACAGATTTTTCACCATAACTTTTTGTGTGTACATTCATTATGTTTTGCATTTGAACAAAAATAGTTGTGTTGTTTATCCTCCATCTTAAATACAAACAACTGGACATGTATTTACAGCTCTTGGTCATGGGTGCACAAGGGTTTTAATGCTCTGCCATCATCATCATTAATTAATAACCTTAATTAATAACCTCTATTTTACTTCTTGGGGTTCCAATAGCCATTGCAAGGCTACACAGAGCTCACCAATGAAATTCACGATTAGAGGTTTATTCAGGAAGTTAACAGGTTGTAATGCTTGGGGTTGACTTGTTTATCAGGACATGTTACAAAGTCCTTTCAGGTCTGCTGATAAATGCCCAAAGGGGCCTACCACTCTGCCCTAAGCCTCAGCCTGAAGGCATTCAGCTTCACTTCTGTGGATCGCCCAGCCTCCCCGTAAGTGCCCAAAGGCACCCTCCTTTGCAAGCCTGTCTCCTCTACAAACGCGCACGAGTTTACTTGCTCTGTGGGACGGGAAGCCCATCACTCTGTACCGTGCTCTGGCTCTTGGCGCTGCTGCTCTGATGGTATAGCTGTCTTCATTAGGTGGCAGTTGGCTCGAAGAGTCACAGTAAATAATTCCCTGCCCCTGCAATCATTTTGGAGCCCCGGTGGTGCAGTGTGCTAAGCACTGGGCTGTTATCTGATAGGTCAGCAGTTCATATGCACCAACGTAAATCTTTATGGGAGAAATATGTAGCAGTCTGCTCCTGTTACGATTTACAGCCTTGGAAACCCTATGGAGGAATTGTACTCTGTCTTCTAGAGTTTTTAGGAGTCAGAATTGACTCAATGGCAGCGGGTTTGGGTTTTATCATGATCTGAAATTCAAAATGAAAAATGAAACACGTCCTCAGACAGACACACTTGTAACCTGAGGACTGAAGTCAGAAAATACACGGTGTCTGAGGAAGCAGAAGATAGTTGTACCAAGACTGGTGAACTGTTGGAAGGCGGACAAATATGATTGTACTACATCAGTGCCCGATATGCTGTATTAAGATGGACAGTAAGATGGACATAGGGTGGACATCACAAACCTGTGATGGACATTCTGTTTCTTTTTGTTTTTGTTTGTTCACATTAAGGTGTGTATGAGAGGTGGTAAGTCATTGGGGTCACCCTCTTGAAGTTGTGCTGTATGTTTTTCTGTTTTTCAGTAAATGAAACCCAGGGTTGATGAACCTACAGGAAAAGCAAGTAGAATAAGGGTTTCAGGGAGGGGGGTGTGGGATCCAGGGGGTGGGGCACAAGGGAGACAATGTCAGAGTCCAGAAAGAAAAGGTATGTTTGGAAACTGATTGTGGAAGCAATTATACAATTCTGCTTGACATGATTGAACTATGGAATGATATATGTATTAACTCCTAATTAATGATACATTAAAACAAAACAAAACAAGACAAAACAAAAACATAGACCCAAGAATGGGTTTGGGCTCAAACTAAATCCCAGCTTCAACCCAAGAACATCTTACAGCATGGCCCTACTTGATATTCGCCCTCAGGAAGGGAATAAAGAAGATATCGGTACCATAGCAAAATGTGGTGAGGAAATTAGATGGTGCCCGGCTATCAGATAAAATAGTGTCTGAGGCTTTGAAGGTCTGTCTCCAAACAAGCAACCATCTCAGTGAGATGTCCACATGGAAGAATCACACCATCAGTCACCAGAGGATTGTAAATGATATCATCCAAAATTGAAGGAAGGATCAGTATCAGAGCCTAAATTGTGCTGATCCGGTTTGGAGAAGCCTATGGATGACAGTGGGAGCCCCAAATCCATTTGTGGGAACCAGCTTCCAGTGACCTCCCTCCACTCACAAGTGAAGGGTGGCAGGAAAGTGCGCACTACAGCGAGCGCGTTGGAGGGATGAGTCAGTTGATCCCCCGTCTGATGCCTGCCGGACCTGTTCTGGTTTTCAACGTTTCCTGTATTTTTGGTTCGTTCTGTTGTGTTTTGTTTTTGTTCACCTTAGGATGTATCTCAGAGGCGTTACGTCACTGGAGGTCACCCTCATGAAGTTGTGTTACATGTCCGTATGTGTTTCGGTAAATGAAACCCAGGACTGATGAACCTATAGGGACAGCAAGTAGAACCTGGGTTTCGGCGGGGGCTCTTTGAAAACAAACCTGCAGGTGGATGGTCCATATGAGGATAGATGCAGACATTGTCAACATAGTGCTGGCAAACGGAAGGCACAGCAAAGCAAAGGGATGACACACCTGGAGGCTGTATTTTTCCACCGACTATACAATTTCCTTAGATATTATCTTCCCAAGCCCAAAGGATAAAAACCATATGGCAATTTCTTTTTTTTTTTTAAATCGTTTTATTGGGGGCTTGTACAACTCTTATCACAATCCATCCATCCATGGTGTCAAGCACATTTGTACATTTGTTGCCATCATCATTCTCAAAACATTTGCTTTCAACTTGAGCCCTTGGTATCAGCTCCTCATTCCCCGCCCCCCCACCCCAATATGGCAATTTCAATAGCTGTATAAAAGCATGTGACAAAACACAACACCTTTTCAAAAATTAGGAAATGCCCTCCATCTGATAACAGGCATTCCCCCCCCCCCCCAAAGAACACCCACAAGTAGCATTAAGTAACATCCTATTTCGTGGTCATAAGCTCTGAAGATCAAGAAACAAGCGCCTCTACTAACGACTTGGGCTCAACATTGTGTTGCGGGCTCTAGCCGGGGATCCATCCACGCACGTCTGGCTGTCCCTTAGCAAGCCCAACAGAGGCTCTCGTGTGTGGAGGGGGCCCAGGGCGGAAGGCCTGACAATGGTCTGGCCTCACACGTTTCCTGTACCACCCTGTTCTGACTTCTTAGATGAACGGGGCTTTGTTGCTTCTGTTTCCTTTCCAACCCCTTCCTGGGGACTCCTCAGGACCCTGGACTCTAATATTTTCCTAAACTGGCCTTCTAACTTCCCTGGAAATCTGAATACAAAGTATGTGGTTTTGGCTACTACTCTGGCTGGCTGCATTATAGCGTGATATAGCATGATATATCATGATATAGCATGATAGCGTCTGAAGGCAAGAGGACTTCATACTCGTCTTCTCTCTTGCCCTTCTGCCAGATCCCACAGCCGGTCAGTAGGTGGAGTACTGTGTGGCCTTAAAAGAACCATTCTCCTGGCTGGGCTCTAACTCACAGGAGCCCTGGGGGTGCTGCAGGTTAGGCATTGAACCACACAACAAGCAGCGTCTCCCAAACACCGGCTGCTCTGCGCCAGAGAGATAAGGCTGTCTGCTCCAGTCAAGATTTACAGTCTTGGGAGCGTTGCTGTGATTCTGAGCCTACATGATGACCGTGGATTTAATCAGACTCAGTTCAAGCACTCGGCAGTTCACTGAAAGGCTGGTGCCGGTTGGAAGCCACCAGCTGAAGTGGCAGCCCACCCCAGTGAAGGTGACTGCTCTACTCTGTCCTCCAGGGTCGCTGTGAATTAGAATTAGAATCCACTCAACAGCAATAGGCCTTTTTAGCCTCACTCACGAGTTAGAGTAATGATATATTTTCAACAGCAGAACCCCAAGCTGCGTATCAATTCTGAGTAGCTCTAAGTGAATGGTGCACTTAGAAAGCACAAGCAAAATAGGAACACATAAAATTGTTTATCTGCTATGTTAGCAGGGATTAACTTTTAAAAATCATTCTTTAATTTCTTTTTGATTAAAACAAGGCCATACCTTGCATTTTAAATAAAGCTATCACATTTGATCGAGTATGTGACAAAACCAAAGAGTTCTTGCAAACGCAAACCAGGCATGCTATGAACAAAATTCTTTGGTGTAATAAAGACTGTCTAAGTATTGGACACTGGGTTGAAGGAGAGATTTAAGAACGAGAAGTCGGTGCTAGCTTGCTCTTGGAGAGCGTGCCGACATGAGGAACGGACGGAAACGTGACAGCACAGAGCCAGCCCCGGTCAATTTGAACGGCAAGCCCTGCATCAAGATCACGTGCACACAGCGAAGCACACAGAAGAGCGCAGCCAGGAAGTGGCATTGTGATAGGTCTTGAAGGAGGAGCTGTGGCTTGGTGGACAGAGGTAAAAGCCAAGTCTAGACTGGAGTAATAGGCCCTGATGCTAAGGAGCTTGGCTTTGAACCTGTAGTTGAGGTTGGGAAGTTTGGGTTTTGAGACCAGCGAAGCGCAGTCCTTTGTAAAGACACAGCTGAGTTCCCACTAACTGCGGCTGAGCCGGCATATTCGGTGCCCAGTAGGAGTACCAGACCATACCTTTGAACAAGAGAACTCAAGAAATGGGAATTTTGTGTGAAATCTTGTGATTTTTTTTTTTTTATCATTAGCAAAGACTAGGCAGTGTTTCATTCTGTTGTGTATCGGGCACTGTGAGGCAGAACCGACTCATCATCAACTAACAACATCAATCTATCAAAAAAATAACAATAACCCAAGCCCATTGTCAGGGCATCACCTCTGGTGCCCAGTGACCCTGTAGAATTGAGGAGAACTGCCCCACAGGGCCGTCAAGGCTGTAACATTAAAAAAAAATCATTTTATTGGGGGCTCAAACAATTCTTATCACAATGCATACATATATCTATTGTATAAAGCACATTTGTACATTTGTTGCCATCATCATTCTCAAAATATTTGCTTTCTACTTGAGCTCTTGATATCAGCTCCTCATTTTTCCCCTCTCTCCCCGCTCCCCTCTCCCTCATGAGCCCTTGATAATTTATAAATTATTATTTTGTCATATCTTGCCCTGTCTGACATCTCCCTTCACCCACTTTTCTGTTGTCCGTCCCTCAGGGAGGAGGTTATATGTAGATCCTTGTAATCAGTTCCCCCTTTCC